TGTTAGTCAATTTGTACATTATGACGGGTTTTTTTTTTTTTTATATATATGATAAACTTTAATAAAAAACATATAAAGGATACATTAAGTTACTAAAAATGTTTTTAAAAATGTTTGTGTTTTTTTTGTTTGTTATTCGTGTATTATTTGTTATTTTATGATCTAAATTCAAAAGGTTTATAAATCTAAAAATTCTGCAATCTATAATTTAAATCTTACAATAGCTTGGTTTAGAAACAAATATTCACATAATTGAATGGCCCGCATGCAGTCCAGATCTTAACACAATTGAAAATCTATGGGAAATACTTTCTAGAAACGCTTATTAAAATGGTACGTAATTTGAATCCACATTGGAGTTAAAAACTTGTATCAGAGAAGCTTGGAATGAAATATCTATAAAAACTATCCATTATCTTCCGACTATCATGTCAAGTATAATATTTGAAGTCATTAAAAATTCAGGAAGCAATATTTAATATTAAATTATAACAAAATAATATCTGTATTTTCTTGTATATAACGTAAATGAGGCTAATTCTGTTTTCTCCGCAAATTGAAAACTTTTGATTTTTTTTTCCATTTGTAATTAATTAAACATACCAATTTATAATTTTTTTTAATTATAGTAGATAATAATAAAAAATATATTAGATTTAATAACTATTTTACTGCTATTTTTATTAAATTAGAACAAAAAATAAAGGTAAGGTTAATTCTACTTTCTCCACTGTAAAAACAAAAACAAACAAAAAGTTTTAGGCCGAAGACAATCCAACGAAAATTTTTAAGACAACAATCCAGCGAAAATTTCTTTTAAAAAATAAATTTAGAGAATTGCATTTATTGATGTTTATAAAATAATAATTTATATACTCTATATAATAATTTATATACTTTACACAAATTTTTGTATAAAGACTAATTTTTTAGGACAGGTTGAGTAGCTCTGTAAATCTTGTGCAATATTTTTTCAAACAAATCTAAAAATATAATTCTTTCTAAACCAATTTTAGCACGTAAAATTATTTTTCCAATTGTGAAAAAATTATGTAAACCCGGCGCATTGTTCATGGGACCTGAGGGTAGTAATGTAGGGAAAAGTTAATCTAGCCCCGCTCTACCCAATAATATTTTTATCTTATTTTCTAGACATTACATTTTTGTAACTTTTAAATACAAAAATATCATTAAATGAAATTTGAACACTGTTGACAAATATATATTGAGTTTTGAATAGTAATAGTGTAAAACTCTCACATTTAGGGCAGAACGGGTAGGGTAACAGGTTTAGGGTTTTTTGATGTTCCAGAATACAATCATTAGTAGGATTGTTAAAGGATCGCGTCTGTGCCCAATATCGAACCCAACTCGACCCATTTGAATCAGGTCTGGGTCTCGTTATTATGCACCCTAAACCCGCCAGACCCATATCTGTTAGACCCGCGTTAACTAAACGAGTCGGGTATGGGTCTTATAATAACCAAACCCGTTATACCCATTATGCTATTCAGAAGATTTAAATTGCGCAATTTTTCTGATTTCATTTATTATTAGGCATATATGCTGAAAAAAAAAACAGATGCTTTCAGTGGTTTAAGCCTTAAAATTAAGACGTCCGAGGTTCAATTTCTGCTCTGACCATATTTGCGACATTATTGAGACAGTAGCCTCAGATAAATAATCTATTATATACTCGCTTATTATTGTATTTTTTTTTATAGCTAAATGCTTTAGTTTTCAAGCATTTCTATCATTGAAAGCTAAGAAAAGTTACTTCAATTATAACTGCTTTTGGCCAAGATGACACATGCACTCAATACCCCACACCCAGTAATGCTATGCACTGTTTTTGTTCTTGTTTTAACATGACCAGAACGGCTTTGGACCCAGACCCGCTCCAAAACCATAAAATAAATTCCGAGTAGGGTCCTTTGTTACCCGACTCAAGCTTGTACTCATCTATACAAGTTGGATCTGGGTTCGGATCCGTTAATATTTAACCCAAACCAGACCCATCAAAAGTCCTATTCACTAAATTTTTTGCAAAGCATTTTTGTTTAACATAAGGGTAAAAAAACCTTATTTGAAGTTTATTTTATGTCCGAAAGTTATTTATCTCTAACAACAACAAAAAAAGCTGCCGCAATCCCTGGGCGGACACGGAAAAAAATCTGCCTCTATGTTTTTTGAACGTTAGGCTTCCAGCTCGGCTCCCAAGATTTTTTCTCCAACTCTCTATATATATATCTATTAAAAAAAAATCTATAACTTAAATATCGGCATCATTTAGCAAACACAAACAATATATAATTTTTTTATCAGTTTAGGTTTCATTTGACAGTAACAGAATTATTTTATTGTACTTCACAATATATAAATGGAAATATAGATTTAAATTGCAAAGTTTAAATAACAAAGCAAAAAAACCAACCATGTTTTAAATGGGTTTGGCTCCTGTCAGTGGCGTAGCAAGGGTAGACTATTATTTTAGCGGCAGAAAATTTATTTTTAAAAATTCTAAAACTTATCTGTTTTGTATCCCTAAGCAAATACCATAACACAGAACTTGACATTTGTTTTAAAAATCATCAATTTAATTATTATAATGCAAAATAAAATCTTCAATTTATATTTTCAACGGTAACGACTTCGCAGAAATGTTTATCTATTAGAGGTCACCGAAAAGAATTTGGGAATCAAGATCAAGATAAAACGACTGGATATAGAGCAAACTTTTTAAAACTAGCTCATTTGTTGAAAAAATATGACCACGAGCTAGGTGTATCAAAACTTAAAAAAAAAATTCGTTTTACTTACTTGTCATCCGTTTAAAAAACCAAGTTTATAGATAAATATTTTTCAATGGTAGTTAACAGTAACCATGATACTTTGCATAAGAATCAAACCAGCCAAGTTTTATGTTAAGTTAAGATTAATAAAATCAGATTTATGTTGCGGAATCCTCTCTTAATTTCATTGACATAAAAGGAAAAATATAACAAATAAAAAAACTTTTTATAAAACCACGTTTTTGTAATGAACTAAAAAGTAGAAAATAATTTTCTCTTGTGGCTATAGAAATTTTTGAAAATTAATTGAGTCGATAGTAAGTGACATGAAAACTTTTGATAATGAACTACGATAATATTTGTAAAATTTTAAACGAAAAACTTGGTGCGCATCTTGTCACTTTAAATGATCATCATCGTCCTTAATTACTTTAACTATTGCTTCCTTCTTCTGTTCTTTTTTTTCGTTAAATGCGCACCACATTTTTCGTTTAAAATTTTACAACTATTATCGTAATTATTAAGAGTTCATAATCAAAAGTTTTCATGTCACTTACTATCGACTCAATTAATTTTCAAAAATTTCTATAGCCACAAGAGAAAATTATTTTCTACTTTTTAGTTCATTACAAAAACGTGGTTTTATAAAAAGTTTTTTTATTTGTTATATTATTTTCTTCTTTTTAGTTTTTGATGGGTGTAATTTTATATTTTGTAAACAACTGATTTTGTTTTTATGCTGCAGTCCATTTAAAATCACAGCGACAGTTAAATTTAGTTTTTTTGTTCGAAAATTTTTTATTTAAAGCGACGCGTCAAATTGCGGCGACGCCTCCAAAAGTTTTGCCATAATAAATTTTATTTTGCTGAAATTGTTCAAGAAACTCGGCAAATCATGGTAAAAGTAGTATAATATTGCATTGTCATCGGGTTCTGAGCTATAATAAAAGTTTTTAGAGCTCTAACTAATCGAAAAGTGGGTTAAAATTGAGTTGCAAAATTCCACCCGGACAAACAAACAAACAAGAAAGCGAGCTAATAAAAACGTGGTAAAAATATTGAGTCTATTTCAACGAAAATTTGTAAAAATTAGAAAGTGATAAAATAGATATTCAATATTGTAGAGGACAAGTATACATTAACGTTGCTGTGATGTCTAGTCACATCAAATACGCATTAAGGAAATAAACGAAAAAGCAGAGTTGTTTACATGTACAAATCGTTCACTAAACTTAGCAGGTGTGCATGCAGCATCAACTGCTTTGAATTCTGTTAGGTTTTATAGGAACTAGGGAGCAGTTTTTCACACTTTTCTCTTCCTCGACTCAACGCTAAAATGTTTTGACTTTCGTCACTGGTCAAAGTATCAAGCGGAAAATAAAAACACGATTGAAAGCAAGGAGATACGAAGTTAATGTTGTGAAAAAAAAAGTTACTAAAAAATCTTAAATGCTATGGAACGATTAACTTGTGAAGAGGAGAGTAGATGTACTATTGTGGATAGTTGTGAAAGAGTTTTTTCAAAACTAAAATTAATAAAAGAGACATTACATCTTCAATGAGTACCCGTGTTTAAGAAACCTAGCCATACTATCCATTGAACAGAAACTGATTTATGAAATTGACTTTATAAGCCTCATATAAGCCTCTGATGACTTTGCTGACAAAAAAGAAAAAAAAAGAAACCTTTAAAATGTTGTAACAAAGTCGAATAAAAATCAATCAAAATCTAAAATTTTTTGATAAATACAATGGTTGTAGTTTTTATGTGGGCAGCGCAAATTAGATTTCTCCCCGGGCGGCATTACCCCACCCCCTCCAGGTTTATAAGAGACAAAGACGGTTTATAAGAGTTCAACGTTTGAAAGTCGCAAATATTGGAAAAACCTTAGCATTGGTTGGTAGATGAGTTTATTTTATAAAAAAGCTTTCGTCTAACCAATACAGGCGTGAAAAAACACTAATTTTTATTGGACGAAGCAATGTTATGTAAATTCGCGATTAAGGGTTTAAAGTCCGTTGTTCATGTTGCTCGGAATTCTTGTTATTATTATTTTCATAACCAAATTGTTTTGAACAACATATGTGATGTAATTTTTTAAAAATAAATCACGTTTTAATCCATGTTTTTTAAATTGTTTTTAAAATCTTCGTTGTGAGTTCAAAGTTTAGTTTTGTTCTTTGCGGGGTTTTTTATTGTTGTTCTTTTTTTTTGTAAAAAGCTTCGAGTGTGATTATGAGTTAACTGTTTAGGAAATCTAAATTTTAATCTAATTATTACGATTTTCTTATTTCAGAAACTTGGTTTATTTATCATTCATAAATTTTCACAAGACAACTTTTTTATGAACAAATGGAAGACCTAGATACTTCAAGTGAACTGGATTTGTCTTGTTTACTTTTAAGTAATTTTCAACTCAAAAGTCTGAGTGCACATTTTGGGTTTAACCCTATAAATATTAGGAAACTTGTACTTCGGAATAATTCATTAAAAGAATTGCCGTCTAGTATTTCCGATTTGTGTAATCTCCAAGAACTAGATGCTTCTTCTAATCAAATATCTTGGATATCAGGTGAAATCTTTTGTCTAAAACAAATAAATAAGCTCGAGCTACGAAATAATCAGCTTCAAACTCTTCCTAAAGAATTTGAAAATTGTTCATCATTGAAAATCCTAAATCTTGGAGGTAATTTGTTCACTGACATCCCACCTCCAATATTTAATCTCAAAGGACTTCAAAAACTTTTTCTTGGTGGAAATAAAATAGCTGTTTTGCCACCTCAGATCGAGAAATTAACACGGTGAGAATTTAAAATTTTCTATTTATAAATAAATTACTGTTATAATTACTTTATTAATGTTAATCACTACCCCCAGATTCTTTATTCACTTATGGTTTTTCTCTGGAAACTACAACTCTCACAGTGCATTAACAAATTGTTTTTAATATATCTGAAACAAAAAAAAGTTCTTCCCTACAATACTCTATTAAAAAATTTTTTTCCAAGTCTTATAAAATTTAAAACAAGCGTTACACTATAATGCAAAAAACTTTAGTTTTAGAAATAAAAGTTTTAGTAGCATCATTATTACTAATAATAGTATTGATGTTGCTGGGTTTTTTTTTTTTTTAATTCATTATGAAAAAATTATTTTGCAGATTTTTGAACTATTTATAATAAGTTTGTTATTAAATTTTAGCTTGGAAGTTCTTTATCTTGGTGGAAATCTTTTGAAGACTGTATGTCCAAATTTAGGGAAGTTAAAACATTTAAAACAACTGGTTTTATGTGATAATCAATTAGAAGTAATACCACAAGAGTTTGGTTTTTTAAAGAGTCTTGAATCATTAAGTTTGCATCAAAATTATTTGAAAACACTTCCAATGGGTATTTTATCCCTTGTAAATTTACAGGAATTGACATTGCGTGACAATCCATTGGTGAATACTTTTATTAAAAAGCTTGAGTTCAACCCGCCAACTCTTCTTGAAATTTGTGGTAGGTGTATTAAAAAGGCAAAAGTTCCATATACACAACATGATTTGCCACGGGTGCTTTGTAATTATTTGAACTCAGCTCAGTGTTGTGTCAATCCTAAATGTGACGGTGTTTATTTTGATTCTCGTGTTAAATGTATCAAGTTTGTGGACTTTTGTGGTAAATACCGGTTGCCTCTTGAACAATATTTATGTTCTCCTTGTGATAATGGCGATAGTAAGTTTGATGCAGTTGATTCATATATAATGCAAAAAGTTCTTCTACCAAAGAATGTTGTTGAATCTGATTAAAGAGATTTTGAAGAAGTGTATATATTAAATTTTGTGTAAATGTCAATAAACTGTGTCGAAAAAAAAAATTTTTTTTAAGTCTCCTTTTTTATTAGAAGCTTTCAGCGAATGTGGTGAAATAAACTCTATAACTAACTTCATTGTAAAGGACTTTATTTTTTTGCAAAAATGGTATGGTAAATACACTATTTACTTAAATGAATCTTTTAATTTTGTATTGCATTAGTTGGGGTGGGAGGAGGGGCAGAGGTAAAAAGTAGCTTTCTTGATGCTAATGATCTTCTGGACATAAAAAGATAAATATCCAGCTTAGTAAAATTATGTATGAATATATATTGCTTGTGGTTAGGTACAGGGGTACCAGAGATAAGCATTTTTAACGGTATACTTTTAATAATTTTTTTGTTTTGTAAGAAAGACATAAGGTCATCTAAATAAATATATAAACAAATTGAGCATAAGAAAAATAAAAAACTGATGCAATTCAGTGATATAATAAATTTTTTCAATTTCTTTGTATCTTTCTTTTTGTAGGTTTGTACTTAAGTCAGTAATCAAACAAAGGCAATTAAGGCAAAGGTTATAATAATTAAAGCATGTGAGCAGCATACGATTTTTCGTGTGGATGTTTCGATCTGTTTGGTACAGACCGTCGTCTGTACCAAAAAAAGCGCAGGGTTAAAAAGCAAGAGGTTCAGGGTTCAATCCGAGCTCTAGGCATATTTCTCTTCATAAGTAGGGGAGAAGTGAACTTCTTATTTAAATACTCTTTTGTGGTGCTTTTCGAGACAACGTAAGGTCTTTTTGGGGCACCTAAAGTAAAAAAAAGAAAACTTTAAAAATGTTTTAGACTAAACAACTTTGTGCTTTAAATTTATATAAAGAAACAACTTGTTTTTCCCTTTTTAGTACGGTTTGAATTTTTTTTTTATTATTTTTAACAATATTTTGTTTTTTATATTTTATAAAAAACAAAATTCATCGATGAATATAAGTCTAGTTGAAAATAGTACAAAAAAAGTTTCATCAACTTGTTGCTCTTATGTTTGGAGCAGGCTTAAATTTTTTGCTTCCAAGCTCCAATCATCGCAATTTTTTGCAAAGCATCCTTAGTTGATGTATGTATAAACATATAAATGTTTGGAGTTTGTTCCATATCTGGAAGTTAGCAATCTGAAAAACCAAAAAATGCTGGCGCCACCCCTGGTTAAAACTTTTAAAAACCACTTTTTTAATAAGAAATTGTATATGCAGCTTATTCAAAACCTTTTTTACACAGAGATAATCAGACTTCAGCAACTACAAATAAGAAATGACAAACTTAGGCTGAAAAATAATGCAGAAACAAAACAAAACTCTACATACTACATGATAAGAAGATTTCTTATCACTCGCAGCAACACTTTTCGAAATCCTAATTAAAGGAATTAAGTTTTAGTGAAAAATTTATGAAAAAAAAAATTGAAAATTTTAGGTGTGTTCAAAGATGCAATGATAATTTTTTCTAAACGTGTATCAGTTCTTAATCTTAATGTAACAAAAATTTATTCTCCTTGAGATTACAATTAATCACAAAAGTTAAACGAGTTCTTTAGGTTGAAAATGAAAAACAGATTTGCTGAAATAAAGTTAAATGGTCATTTTTCTCAAGAAACTCTCCAACGTCCAAAGTACAAGAAATACTTTTTCAGGTCTCCAGAAGCATTTTAAAACATACATAACAAGCTTTTGACAGAATTAGCTCTATTTTATATATTAGCTCTATTTTATATATTATAAATGCATACGCCAATTTTTATCAAATAGAAAGCAAAGCGTAGTCACGAGAGAAACCGAATCTAATTTAGTAACTTGTTATTAGGTCTATTTTTTTTTCATTGTAGTTATAAATGATGTTGTCGATAACCTAAAATCAATCTCAAAGTTGTACACAGACGGTACAAAGCTAATTGCTAGAATTGATAAAAAATAGTGCGTAATCGATACAGCCAAATTACAAACTGACAAAATTACTGCGTTGACATCAAAATACCAAATGGCTAATAAACATAACAAAATGCAAAATTATGCATATCGATTGCTGTAATCAAAACACAAAATGTTTTTGAAATATAAACAAAAAATCCTATGAACTAAATAAAAAATTGTCGTAAACGTGGTCTTGGTTTCCAAATTTTTAAAGTTTAAAACCAAAATAACAAGTTAGTAAATCCTGCTCTAAAACAAACCAAATGCTCGGGTATGCTAAAACGTACATTTTCGCATTTTTAAGTTCTGGTTTGAATTTTCAAATTATTAAATTGGTTGGATACGCCCATTTACTTTATATATTTGTCCAAAAATAGAATTTACAATATTTTTATGGAACTTATAGGGGAGAGTGAGGAGAAGCAGAAAAAAGTTGCTTTCCCGCTTCTCCTTAACAGTTTTGCATTATTTTATTGCAGAAAATTTTAGAAATTTTTGGGTCATAAATCATTTTCTAAGTGAATTTTGGCACATTTAACGTAAAATAACTTTTTTATTTTTTTCTTTTCTTAAGATGTAATCTTAAATTGATGGAAAAATGCATTGATGCATTGACTATTTTGTTTTAATTAAATTATACTTAACTTTAAAATAAAAATTTGCTCAAACTAGTATTTAACTAGATTTGGAATCGTTTTTATATAGTCCCAGTTCTCCCTCCAAATGTTCCGCTTCTCCCGTTTAGTTTTACTGGTTCCCTAAATACTGCCTTATTTTGCAATTACCCTGATAAAAATAATTTTGTGTCTCACTTCTCCCAACTCTTCCAATTTAAAAAGTGACATTTAAGAACTGGAAAAAAATTCATAACGAAATAAAATATCTTACCTATGAAGAACTATGCAATCATTTAGGTTTAATCTTGTAAAAATTAAGAAAAACCAGAGTTGATCTAATTTAAAAGTTTTAAATTAAGAAAGGTTTTAATAAAATAATGGCACAGAAACATTATGTTTATCATATATATAGAACAAATAAGCAAATAAATAGAACTCGTTACCAGATGAAGTAGTAGATTCAACATCTGCAAATGTGTTTAATGAAAAACTAGATAAACATACTCACTACGTCATCTGCTATTGATTAGCTTCGTGAAATTTAAAAAGTTTAGGTGTGTTTAAAAATACTAATACTATTAGTATTTATATTTGATAAACTTTGATTCACATCATCACGGATCGAATTGTGGCAAAACTATGAAAAAAATTACCTTACTCCACCACCAACATCAGCAATTGTTGAGAGACTCTTTTTAACTTCTTGACAAACAAGTTAAATTAATTATTGTCTTTTAACTTAGAAATGATTATGTTTTATAGAGAAAGTTTTATAATAATCAACTCTCTGTAATAATAAACAGGGGAGAGTGGGAGAGCGGTGGGACATATATTTCTTCAACAATTTTATTATCTTTTTTATACAACGTATGTACTGCACTAAACAATTGATTGTAGAGCAAGCAAGTAGTTAACAACATATTAACAAAAATTTTTAACTAAAAACTAATAATATCGCAAACCACGTAATCTTTACCAAAATATTCAAACGGTTTCCATAATAAAATTACAAAAAATTTATATAGAAGAAATGGAAGATCAACTAACTTTCTTTGTCCCACTTTACCCCTCAAAAAGTTGTTTTTTTGGGTTACTTTACAAAAATGTAGTTTTTACTTAACAAAAAAGACAAATGAATGCCTGCTAAATGATTAGGGTCCTCTCTTAATTTAAAATATTTGAGATGTTCTATCTCCCGGGTTCCACTTCTCCCGATTCTTCTCTTTTCGGTTTTGATTTCAAAATTTGACCAATTACAGTTGCGTCAGATTTTGGTTTTAGCTTAAAATTTAAAAGCGAAACCAAAGCCGATTTTGGTTTATTACTTGTCATAAGTGTTTTTTTTAAGAGTTAATTTTATTGTGTGAAGATAAAAGTTTGCAAATAAGTTTTTATTACCGTCCAACTTCGACCAAACCTTTTATGTATCTTTACAAAACAATATTTAAAAACAAGTACTTATAAATTTAAACTGAGTTGCATATTTTTTTAAAAACTGTTTTGTCAATACAAATTATTATGATTTATGATTTAGGTTTACATTTTTATTCGACATGTTTTTGAATCCTGCATTAACTGCAAAATCAGTTTAATAACGGTATTTTTGTATATAACGGTGATGTTAGAATCAAGAGGTTCAAGATTCTATGTCTATTTTTCCAATATGTGCAATATCGTAAAGGAAGCGGCGTGGGCATTCTCGTTAAATGTTTTTCCGTAGTGCTTTAAAAAAAACCGTCAGGTCTTCTTAGATCACCTTATTAACAAAAATAAATGACATGCAATTATTTTGCTTAACCAATCAAATATCTATAAAATCAATGTAGACACAGCCAGAGATTACAAAAAATAATTTCAAAAGATTAATTTATATTATTCTCGTGCCAAAATCAAAAAAGAATATTTTGTCATGATCTTTACAAAGTTTCATGCATAAATAATGATATTGAGCCAGTGAAAAAACCCATTTACTTCCATTTGTTTTCCGCAGAATTTAACCATGGTTCATCTTCCCAAGAAAAATAGTGACGAACTTTGCGAGAGGTTGAAAGTTGCTGAATGATACAATAAAATAATATTGAATAAATTTGAAAAAAGATTTTAAGTTTTTTAAAACTAAAATCAGAAAAATTCAGATATAAAAAAAAATCAGAAATCAAAAAAAAAGTTCAGGGGCCACTTTTTGACCTTCATTTAGACAGGAAGTTCACGCCTCCTCCCTTTACCGTGACGCGAAATATGTCCAAAGCCCGTTTCGAACCTCGATCTCCTGCTTATGAAGCAAGCGCTCTAACCACTGCACCACGGCAAAACAAAGTTATACAAATTATAAATTCTATATTATATTATTTTAAAATGTTACGCTTATACTTTTAGGTATCTAAAACTGAGATCAGAGTTAATTGTATGATTAATGGGCAAAGAGAAGAATATTTTTTTCTGGTCAGTTACTCCCAAGGAGATAAACTACCAAACTGAAAAAATTATCTGTTTAGTAGATGCTCTTTTTCTAATCAATGGTTGTAGCGATAATTCATTATCCGAAAAGGACTATAATACAGTCATATCACTATTCTTAGAGAAACACACTGCAGCAGAGTAAAATATATGTGTGATGTGATGGATAATTTGTTTAATGTGTGTAAATGATTTCTGAATGAACAGCTAATTCTTTAATGGAAATACATTTAAATGTTTGATTTATGTTTCATTTAATTAGACTTTTGTTCAGTTTTTAATTCATGTTACATCATGTGTGTGACAAAATCACACGAGTTTTTATTATTATTATATTAGGACAATGTTGTATTGACTCACTTTTTTATATTTTTTGGAGAGAGCTTTTGGGTTACGACCAGTGCTCGAAGTGAGGCGGGTTGCCGTCCCGTTACCTATTCATAACGTATAAACTTTCCCGCCACCTTTTTATAAATTTCTATATACAAGAATGATTAAGCGGGATGGTATTTTTAATTTGCCGATTACCATTCCGTTACTTTTTTTTCCCTACTTCAAGCTCTGGTTACGACCATGGAAGTATAAAACAAATGGAAGTTCAACCGCATTGAAATTCTTCGGACTATGGTTGTAACCTTTTATTTCGTAAACAATAAGAAAACGACATCAAGACTGTACTTAAACGCTTAATCTTTATACGTTGACGCAAATAGATACGTTTATAATAATTTAAAAATATAGTATTTTGAAGGTTCGCCAATAATATTCATGAAAAACATTAAAAATGGCGCAACGTAACGGCAAACAACAACTTTTTTAACTTTATATTAAATGAATGGAGTAATACAAAAATGAGTGGAGTTATCATATACAGCTAATAAAACTTCAAACTTTAGTTACTTAGAAAACAATTTTTTTGATTTTTTAAAAATTGTTTTAGCTGTCTTTTTTATCAAATGTCGTGTTATGACTTGAAGCAAGAAAAGAAGCTTAAACTAACATATGCTTTTAAAATCAAGCGGTTCTATTTAATTACCGAGTTTTAATAAACCTTTTGTTGAATAATTGCAATTACTAATGGTTAAAAATTTGCAACATATCCCTAGAATAATTCATTTTTTAATGTTTTAATAAAGATCATTTCAGTGAATTTTGTTGTTTTTTTATCCAGTTAAACTTGTTTTTTTTTAATTGTCGGTAACAAGCATACTCCCGAGACGACTTGAAATTGCTTTGACGTTTGCGGCTCGATGAACTTCCATCTGTTTTATACTTCCATGTTACGTCTGATATTAACTACAAAAGTTATGTGCAACTTTTTGCCTTGCTAAAAAAATGGATTTAAAATTGGCAAAACTAAATTTCTAAAAATTTTTCAAAAAATCTCAAATTATTAAACCCGGATTCCGAGTGAACGAAACATTTTTGAAAACTTTTCCCCAACAGGTTTTCTCTATATTCTGATCAATATATAAAGAATGCAAGCAATTTGGAGGAGGTCACTTCCACAGTTTTAGATGATATGTTGAAAATAATCATAAAAAAGTCAATAACTATATAAAAAACAAGAATTAAAAAATAATAATAAATAAAAATATACAATAATAATAAATGGATGTGTATGTATGGATGCGTATCTTAAAATGTTTATTGGAGGTGTATATATTATTGTATGTATTGATGTATATATATTGTATGGAGATGTATATATTATTGTATTGAAGTGTATATATTAGTGTATAAAATATATTATTGGAGGTGAATCATCCTTTGGCAGTGATTTGACGTTTTTGTCGGCGTAATCGTAATCGCTCCTACCTTTTGTAACTTAATTTCATAAAATCTTTGGACAATTTGGAAGTGTATTGGGAAGTACTTCAGTACAAAACTATTTTTATTATATTCGACGATTTATGATTTCAGTGAAAAAGATGTCTTATTTATTTTTTATTGAAGACTGAAAAATATTATTACTGTTTAGATGAGTCAGTGATTCAAAAGATTTAAAAATCTTTTTTTAGACACCGCAACAAAAGAAAAGTTTAAAAGTTTAAATTTGGTTTGCTGATGATGTTCTTAAACAAAAAAGTTTTTTTAGTCTCTAATCAAAACTAAACGTTTACTTTCCCGCAGATAACGTAATATAACGTACGATAACGCTGTAGCTACTGACATTACTTTCGACGTTACTTGCAACGTTACCTACGTACCTTATCACGAAACGTTACTGACGTAGGCAACGCTTCAAGTAATGTCTAAAATAATATCCAAAGTAACCCAGTCACGTCGCTTATGTATTTTATAAAACCGAAACAATAATTGTAAACATGCCTCGATAAACCAGTACAATACAAATACAATCATTTTAAAACCGATTTAATTTTGTTTTTTTATTCCTAATTTTCTATTATCCTAATTAACTTTTACAATTATGGTATGTTTTATTTAAATTTCTTTTTTTTTATCTATTTTTGCCATGCTAGCTAAATATACATTTTAAATATTTCATTTATATAAATAGATTTGAGTTATTGACTAATCTAAATTGGTATAAATTCATATAAATTATGTTTAAATTGTTTTTATAAAATAATTTAAACATAATTAATATGGTTTATTAGATTGTTATAATATCGCAAGCTTGAAAACATAAAACTTATATGTTTTTAAGCTTGTGATATTATAATAATCTGTGTAAATTTCCTCTAGATGTTACATTCAAAATTTCAAAGGTTTTAAAATATCAATGTAGAAATTTTCTTTGATTTTGATGCATTTGCTAAGTTTAATTTTAATTTTGAAGTATATAATAATATTCTTGTAAAATATTAATATATAATTTATAATTATGTAAGAATTCCTTGTATAGAAAATACCGATTAATACTTTTTATTAATTGATCGATTTGAATTAATTTGTTTGCAGAGTTTGCTAAAAAATATCCAGAAATTCAATTGCTTTCTATGAAATATTTTGCTATTAGTAATTTGAAATAAACTTTAAAAAGTATTCGATTTCTTCATAAACCAAAAACAAAAATTTACAGCTTTGCCTAAAATAGTTTGAAACAAAAGAAATTGTGAGGTTATTAAACAATTGCTTACAGAATCAATTATAATTAGGTTTTTGAGCTTTTTTGGCTCAAGATTTTGAAGCATTACAATTTCAAACAAAAAGCAAGTACAATTTCAAACTGAATCTAGAATGATTCACTTGCTTTATCAAAGCTAATAAAGTATCATCATTTTTTGATGTTTGAGAGAACTAACTTTTAGATATGGAGGAAATTCTAAACATTTATATGAAGAATGCTTTACAAAACAAATTTAAAAGATTGTAGCCTAAGAACCAAAAAATCCTAACTTTTTAGCTGATCCTGCCCAAAATGTGAGAGCAACAAGTTGATAAAAAAAAATTTTATACTATTCTTAACTAAATTTATATTCAGTAGTAAACTCTAAGTGTTCAATAATTATGAGATTTTAAAACTTGTAACTTTAAATTGAAGGGGTTCAAGATTTATATGGTCATAGTTTTTGAAAGCAAATAGGATAATGTCTTACAAAACTTTTTTTTTAGAATTATTTTTATTATTTTTTAAACTATTTAATAAGTGCCTAACTAAATCTTGTCTTTCTGCCCCCTGACAACTTTATACTCTAGTCTAGAGAGCCTATATACTGAGACAGGTGATATATGAAAAATGGTGGCTATGTTTTTTGCCAAATTAGCATGTGACTTAAATGAATTTATGTAAAAACAATTGTAAAACACAATACTTTAAACAAAAATTTGTTTTTAAAATTTATATTTTTAATGTTTGTTTTTTTTTGCAGTTTTTTAATAAAATTATTTATAAAACAAAAATTCATTTGGCAAATAAATAAATTCAGTAAAAAAACCTGTCAAAAAATTACTTGTAATTTATAAGTTACTGAATAAAAGTTTAGGCCTGAAAAAATTTTTACAATTTTATTATAAATTAGTTTTAGTTGAATTCTTTCAAACCCAATGCATGCATTTTCATATCATCATTGTCATATGCATTGTCATATTACGTATTTAAACTTTCTAAATCTGTTTTCAAGCTTCAATTAAAATTAATGAGAATTAGGAGAAAAGCTAAATTTTAATTTGATCATCAGTTTCAATTTGTTCATCAATTGACTTTCTCTTAGAGTATAGAATCACCGTTCTTTTATTTAAAAAATTATGGCTAAAATGATCTAAATATTAATTATATTTTTGAAAAACACAAAGTTTGTTTCATTAGCAAAAAATAAACTTCCCACATTGGGCTTGTATCTAAAAAACATTGTATAATCAGCATTTACTCTATTTTGAAAAATATTGAGATTCAAAACAAATTAGGAAAATTCTATAAATATTTTTTAACTCTAGAACTTATATATATTAAAAAAATTATATTATTCAGGCTTTCACAGGAAGATGTGCGATTTTATGTCTTTATATGACCACACAAAAAAAATGTTTTAACGATTTGACCACGACATACAACGCAACTAAAACAAAACTCATCAAACTAAAATGCTTGGTCTATTTAATTTACGCATTAAAAAACCTTTTTAATCTTTGTTTCAACATTTTTATATATTTTTTATTTGTTTAATATGTTCAAAAATTAAATATTTCTCATAAAAAATACATAGTTATATAAATAAAATAAAAAAACATTTTATAAATACTTTTTTTTTAATTAATTAGAAGTGTTTTTCTTTACCTCATTAAAAGCGTTTCGATAATATAAAAGCATTTAAGATCAAACTTATTAAATTGTAACGGCTTTCTAAAACTTTTTTTTTAACGAAATTTTGTTTCTCTTTTTAAATGCATTAACTTTGATCATTCTTATATTTAAATTTGTTTAAAGAGACTTTCGTAGTCGTAGAATGTCATCGTTTGTAAAAACAAAACAATTTTTTATTTTTTAATAAGATTTATTTAGAAATGAACACTTAAACAATTTATATGTTTTAAATTAAAAAAATATATACAACTGTCAATTATATTTAAAAAACAAAACTTTTTTTCAGCAAATTGTTACTTTATTTAAAATTGTTTGGCTAATATAAAAACATTTGTTAAGAAGTTTTGATGTAATTAATTTCACTTTTTTTGAATACTTTTTATTTAGCGCGTTTCTAAAATGTTTTTTGAATTAGCCGCGGTCAAACCGTCATAGCAAAATGTAACTTGCGTGGTCATATAAAGACATGAAATCGCACGTCTTCCTGTGAAAGCCTGATTATTATACATTATAAAAAAACAGTTTGGCTCAGTATTACTCAAGATTAAACTTGACATTTTATCCAAACCTTGGAGTAAAACAAGGTGCTCTTTTTTTTGTGGATTGTGTACCTTATTATTAACCAACTCAAGAAAATACAATATCAATATCAAGAAAATACAATTGATTGTCATTATAGGGTATCGTAACTGCATTTTGATAATTTAATGTTTTTAAGAGTTGAGCAACACATTAAGTTTTAAGTCATTTTTGTATTGAAAAGCTGTAGGAACTACTTGTTTTGTGAAAGTACCAGTTAAAAATATTTTTTTAGTAGTTTTGGGTAAATTGCAATTTTAAATTAAAAGTTTTTTTTTTTCAAAAAAAATATTTGGTTGTTGACAAAGTAACACCAGATGGAATAAGTTTCCATCTTAGTTTTCTACTTTAGTTTAATACATATAATCCACATAGTAACTCTATAATTTCATTGAAAAAAGCTTTTGTTTGATTGTAAATTTAGTGATTTTTTATACTAAAAGCCATAGTAGGGTTTCGTGATCTCATAAGTGAAACCATTTATCAATAATTCAGTTAAATCAAGTTGTGAGTATAGAATTATCTTTTTTTATTTTCAATAAATTTTAATCCACAACTTACATTAAGTCTTATTACAATATAATACTCTTGATACTTTTGTTTAAATGTTTTTCATCAAGATGCTAAGATTATAAGTAAACATCAAATCCATATTTAGAATGTCAACAAGTTTGTGCAGGAATTTTGAATCTATAACTAGTGATAGAAGTATTTTTTTTAACCTTAGCTGTAATTATTATTAGCTGTAACTCAAATCCATATTTAGAATTTCAACAAGCTTGTGCAGGAGTTTTGAATTTATAACTAGTGATAGAAGTATTTAATTATTATTAGCTGTAACTATCGCTTAACTGAGTTATCACTACTTGTTTCATTAACCAAAACTTAATCTTGTATGACTTGTCATTTAGGTAAATTGAACCTTCAATACTATAAGTATTTCTTGTATTATAACTAGGGTTTGCTTACAGCAATAACACTAGTTATAATACAAGTTAAAAGTGAGTTTATTAGAAGAAAAAAAAATTTTTTTTTCTAATACTTTAGCTTATCTATTTTTAAATTGTATACAAAAGGCATTAATAGAAATATATCTACCTGAAAGTGAATCTTTGACTTTATCTAAGGATGAGATTAAAAGTGTATTTACATAATATGTTAGTTTTATTGTAAGTATCAGTTGAAGTTCTTTGCTTTTTAGATGCTAATATATTCACAGCTAATGTTGCCATAACTTTTATTTTAATAAAACTTAAAGATGCTTACAATGTTATAAGTTAAAAATTTAATCTATAAATTGATAAACAAAAAAAAACAACAACCATAAATTTCATTAATGTTAACCTCAGAATCAGTTTGAATTTGAATTGATGGCCTTGGTTGCGAAAAATGGCAAAAAATTTAAGTAAAATGAAAAAAACAGTATTATGAGAAAGTAACCTAATAATCATAAAAAAATGTAGGAATCTTTTTAGCTTTGGCAAAAGCAACTTACCTAGGAAAAATGAAAATACTAATGCGAAACCCCTATTTTTATTGTGGCCATTGTTAGAAGGAGCTCATAAATCTTAAATGCCAATCAAGCTAATAGTAATATCATAATAAAAATACTTAGCCTTGACCTGGATACAAGTTTAGCTGGCTACCCTAGAATGGTATCTGGTTGTAAAAAAAAAGGCTTCAACTATTACATAATGATTTTAATAAAAAAAAAAACAGGGAAAAATCTTCAAACCACACAAGTTGAAACATGGTTGTTAAACTTGAAAAAATTAACAAACAAAAAAATAGTTTTTAAATATATTTTTGTGTTGCTGGTTTTGTATGATTGCTTAATTCAAAAAAACTTTGTGGTTTTTTTACTATCTAGTCTGGATCATCTTCTCTTTTAATGGGTATCGATAAAATTGCAGACAACTCTGGTTATTTTGTATTAAACCGTGAAGGTGCTGTTTTGTCGGTAGGTTAATTTTTTTTATAAATAGCTATATGTCATTTTTAGAAAATAGTAAATTGTTTTTTAATGATAAATCAATCAATATATCAATCAATATATTTCGACAAAAGATCTTACATTGGAGGTTTGGGCAGTTAAATTTTACATTGAAAAGACAATTACATATCTAGAATGCATATACATGGGCCACTACAGATGATATATATGTATATATATATATGTATATATATATATATATATATATATATATATATATATAATATATATATATATATATATATCTATGTGTATATATATATATATATATATATATATATATATATATATACATATATATGTACATACATATATATATATATATATATATATATATATATATATATATATATACATATATATATATACATATATATATATACATATATATATATATATATATATATATATATATATATATATTATATATATATATATATATATATATGTATGTATATATATATATGTATATATATATAAATTTATATATATATATATAAATATATATTTATATATATATATATATATGTATATATATATATATATCAGGGCGCGACAAATCGACGAACGTGCGAACGTTTGTTAAAAAAAAGACAGAAAAACGAACGTCACGTTTCCTTACTTTATTTAAGCAAACGTTGACGTTCGCCTAAATTTTTTAAAAACGAACGCATATCTTCAGCAATTTTTTATTTCCAAATAGTTATGCGGTTGATAGTTTTTTATTTATTGTAAAAAAACATAGTTAATATAATAAAAATAAGTTACTAAAATTTAAAACGCAGTTTCAATGACATTAAAAGAAACCGCACTAATACTTAGCGCGGTTTCTTTTAATAAAAGAAACGCTAAGATCTTCAATTGCGTTTCTTTTAAGTATGCAACTGTAGAAAAAATTATATTTAGCATGGTTTTTACATGCGTTTACAAATGAATTGCAATTTTAACTTAAAATGAATGCATTTGCAATTACTTTAAACGGAACCACGCTAAAACATTCTTTTTCCTAAGGCGTGCTTTTCTTAAATTTTCTTATTATCGTTAAATTAATGTTTACTTGCTGTTTTTAAAGTTTAAAAAAAAATTTGCAGAAATATATAAAATTTAATAGATTTTATAGAACTATTATGTTGATTATAGTTTTCATTTTTTACTGTGCCTTTAACAATAACCAATAACATAATATTTTTTTATTAAATACTTAATATTATAAATATAATAATAGCATATCCGGTGTTTAATAGTAACTTATTAAATTATAAATTTAATAACTTATTAAATGCTTAATACCATATTATTATATTTAAATATTTAAAAAATAAAAATGTTAAAATAACTTTTATTTTATTTTTATATAATTCCCTTTTATTTAAATTTTATCAAGTTTATATCTTTTTTTTATAATTTAACAAACTAAATTTAGAAATATTCACTATTTTGTATTAATAGATAACAGTTTACAGTGAAAAGGTTATTGCATATTAGATATCATTAATTTGCGCACACATTGCAAATGCGTGAAAAATTGTTTTAAATTAGTATCTTTGATATATCTAATTATTATATATCTTATTAACTAGAATAAAAGTTATTTGGAAATAAAACTCTCTTATAATTAAATAAAAAAATTATTTAAATAATAAAAAAAAAAAAATTTAAAGAAGTTAAAATGAGACTGGCTTATTCTGGGCGACACACGGGTTCGAAGTGGAGGTGCGGAACCATCTATTAATGAAAAAAGTCCTCTAAATTTAGAATTTCTCTTGAATAAAAAAAAAAAAAAAATGTGTATGTGTGGAGGAAGGGGGGGGGGGGAGTTGATATTTGACATACCTCTTAAATTAGACGTTCATCAATAAATAAAGAAACGAACCTCAACGTTTATTTAAAAAAAACGATTTTTTGTGCCCTGTATTTACATATATTTTTGCATGAGCTACCTGTTTATTTATTAAAAAAATTGAATACAAAGTTTGGTTTTATACATATTACAAGCATATGTTTGTAACTTTAATGTTACAAGAATATATATAACAAGTGTCAGTTATTGCGCCATGAAAAAATTCTTTAGACATGCATTGTTTTCAGGTTTTCACACTAGCTATCTATTTAATTAATTACAGCATTACTTAGTTGATTAAAAATTTAACAAAGAGCTATTAAAGTTAATAATAAAAATATTTTATATTTTCCTATTGTAATAGAATGCAGGCATTTTAAGAATAATTGCAAGAATTGAAAATTCCACATTAAAAATGAATAATATATTAATTAATTAGTATATAAAATATACATTAGAATAAAATAAAAACTATTATGCAATAACTTAATGTGTAGTAACTTTTTATCAGTTAAATAATTTTTATGTTTTATCAATATAAAGTGTAAAAATTTTATATTTAATTTTATCAAAAACATTTGTATTTAAATCAGAACTCTTTTTTAATTTTTTTGCAACAATTTAAAAAATATTGCCTTTTAAAAGTATTTTAAATATTTTTTTTTTTTTTATAAAAATGACTTTTTCATTTTAGTTACAATAAAAATTATACTTTTCAGAAAAAAAATTCAGAAATATATAATATTTCTGAAAATTTTTGAATTTTCAGAAATATTTTATATTTCTGAAAATTCAAAATTTTTTAGATGAATGTCATTATGTATTGCACCTACTAATCGGTAATCGGTAATGTACTTTGATGAGTCATCTACCCTTCATCTTCTAGGATTATTTCTTACTTCCTATCTTTCTTGGAAACCATATATAAAATGCATTGCAAGATTGGCATCTGCTAAGGTTGCATCTCTTTATCATGCTTGCCACTTTCTTACTTCAGATTCTATTCTTTATCTCTATAAATCTCAAATCCATCCTTGTATGGAATACTGTTGCTATATCTGGGGCAGATCTTCTAATGATATCCTTTATCTTTTAGACAAGGTGCAAAAATGGGCACTACTCTAAAGAGCTTGCGTCTTTTGTGCCATCTACTAAAATTCATTCTCGTCTTACTTGTTATAAGTCTCATCTTTTTTCTGTGACTGTTCCTAAGTGCTCCAAAAACAATTATTCTTCTAGTTTTTTTCCTCTAACATCAGTTCGAATTAACAAATTAAGATAGAAGCCAGAGAGAAATTCCAATTATATATGAAACTATGCTGTGCTTCCAATAAATATAAAGGCAAACTTTGAATTCTTTGAAACATTAAAATAAACTGTTTAGTAAAAAGGCTCAGAAGCTGTATTTTGAATCTGATATAATCTCTGCTTGTGAATCAAACTTTAAAAAACTATATGTCTTTTCTAATAGTCAAATGTTGTGCAAAATTGAAATTATATCTCTTTTTGATGGTACAAAAATTTAACTAGTCCTAAAAGCTTAATGCCAATTGTTTGAATAAACAAGTCCTTAAATCTTTTTGGTCACCTGATATAAATCTAGCTTTGTCTAATTTTTAAAGTAGGAAAAATTCTTTATGCTTGGCAAGTACTGGAGTTATATTTAATAAAAATAAAATTAAGTAGCTTTTGTAAGATCTTGACCTATCAAAGGGCACTGCAATTAATGGATTTAAATATGTCCTGAAAAGAGCTAGTTCCCCTTTGTTTCTTTTATATAAAATGTCTTTTAAAGCTAGTTTAGTTTGGTCCTGCTAAAAGCTAACATATATTACGCTATTTTTAAGAAAGGTCCATATACTGACACTAGAAACTACATGTCGATATCACTCGCTTCTGTGTGTATTATCACTTATTAAAGATATGATTAAGTTAATTTGAAATGGCAGGATACTTGTTTACAGACAGGCTTTTATCTATACACCAGCATAGTTTGTAAAAAGTTGTTTACTACCAACAATTACTAAAGTCCTAGGTGATAGTTGTTCAGCACTTTAAATTCTTCTTTTTAATTTGCAAAAGCCTTATGTCTCATACATTTTACTTCAACTCAAGTTGGATATAGTTTCTGCAATAAAATTCTGCACAAGCTTAAGAATTTTTTTAGAAATAGAAAACTTTGTGTGATTTATGTGTTGAATATGATCTATGATGAATTTTATTCAGACTGGATAGACATGTTTAGTGGTGTGCCTCAGGGTTCTAATCCATTATTGTTTTGTGTTCAAGTGATAAGGCTAAATTTGTCAAAACTTTTTCTATCCTCCCCAGGGTGCGTATTCACCAAACTTTTGTAACTCTTGCATAGCTCAACTAAGGTTACGGAAACTGTACTTTCAGCATTGTTTTTGTAACTATATAGTATTCACCCTAGTTTCGCAGCATTTCTGTAAAGTTAGGGCTGCGCACAAGTTGCGCTAAACTTACACAAAAACTTAGCAAAGTGGTTATAAAGGGCAGATAAATTTCGACAATTGTTTAATACACAAATAATAAAAACTATAAAAACTTTAATTTTTTTTAATCATAAATATCACATAAATAGTGTTTTTTTAAAATACAAATAATTAAAACTTTGTATACTAGTTTGACATACTTAAGTTTGGAGTTTGTCATATATACAACATTAAAAAAATCCTTGTAACATTTGCCGATGTTACATTCAACAATATATTATCACCTTTGATTTAAAAACAAAGTTTTAATTAGTGTTCTTTGTACAATGCCAAGTCGAATTGATTGACTTGTGTTATTTCAGCCTGAACATAGTATATATCATTTTCATCATTATCTTCAAAGTTTATGTCATCTGGAATTTCTAATCCTAAGCAATTGTAAAGGTTTTCCAGTAAATTGCACATAAAATATATTTTGCAATATATTGTTCAGGTGAGCAGGTGCAATATATTGTTCAGGTGTTCCAATGGTTTTTGAAAGAATCGCTCCACATCACTTTCTACCTTAAGGTGAACTTTATTGAAATATATTTTCTCTGGTGTAGTTGGCTGATTGGTGTAATCATGACTATTAACAAACAAAAGGAAAAAGTGCTTTAGGATTATATTTCAATGTCTTTTTTAATTTAGAATTAGAAAAAATAAAAATTTTTATCCAGGATACTTTTTGACAACATCTTTGAAAATGAAAAAAAGCTATTTTTAAGTAAGTAGTTGATAAATCAACTCTTTCAAACTTCATTTTTAACGGTCAAATTATAACAAAAATATTAAACGATAAATGATCAAAAGGTTATTCTTTTTTTGTTGCAAATTTTTTTTGAATTGATATTTTTGACCAATTACTCTTTGAAAACTTCCAGTTACTTTGATAAAAGCCTCATTGGTATTAGAATTTTTGCTTCTGAAGAAATTGGGTTGCTTCTCAACATGATTGTTAACAAATCATTGTAAATGTGTTGACAATATCTCTATTTATTTTTATACAAACAAAATTTTTGAACAGATTCTACATCAGAGTAATCATTTAAAGCAACATATTGAGCTTTATGATTTGATCTTGACCAAATTAACTAAATTTCCATTTAAACTAAAACTGAATAAAGTTATTAAAACAATTAAATGAACTAGGATCATTATACTCAATGACATATGTACCATTTAACAAAAAAACTTTGAAATAAAATATTTATAAGATATAGTTATTTTTTTGTAAATATATGCAGTGTTTTCTTAATATTTATAGAGATATAGTTGCTTTTTTGTGAATATAATAATTATATATATGTTACCAAAATCATAACTGCATCATAACAATATAGATGATATAACAAAAAGATGTTATATATATAATATATAGCATCTTTTAAAATATAATATACTTTATACTATAAATAATATATAGTATGCTATAATATCTTATTTTTTATAACAATGTTACTATTATTTTATATAATAAGATGTTGTGTTATATTAATAATATAATAACATCTTAATATATATAAATTAAATACATTATGTTTAACTTAATAATATAATATCTTAATCGTTGTCATTAAGATGTTATATCAATATTTATTTATAATATCACATCATAATGCATATAATTTAAATATATTAAGATCCTATTTTATGCTGTTATATTATAAGATAATAAATTGACAATATTATACAAAAATGTAACAATAATATTATGATATTATAATACACAATATTTTATTACTATAATTTGTAATAATATAAAATCTTAAATATTAAGATGTTATTAAGATAATCAGTTGTTAAATTATTATGATGCATTTATATTTGTATTAATATCTATGATTATTGCTAACTTTATTATAATATATAGGATTTATATACATAAATTGTATATATTATAATTTATAATAAGATTCTATATCAATCTGACAATATATGAATCATAATAATATTACACCATTTCTAATATTTCAGGGTGACCAGCGGTCCTTGAAATCCGGGAAAAGTCTTGGAATTTTATAGGACCAGGAAAAGTCCCCTTATTACAAAAAAACACCCCTTTTTACTAAAAATTCTGGAAATCCTAGAACTTTTTTTTATAGAGTTCATTATTCCATTTTCTTGTTTTCATCTTTTAAAAAATTTATAGTTTGTATATATATTTTCTGAAATGATGAAAATATCTTAATTAATTTAACTATCTGTATTATTAATTCTACTAATTATTTAGAAAATAAAAAATACAAATAATATATATATAACAATTAATATATATATACAAAATATATAATATAACTAACATAATGCCTAAGTCAAAGAGCTGTAGTTTCCAAACAGAATGGCTATACAATAAAAATTATTCTTGGGTAAAATCTTGTTCTTCAAATTCAAAGAAAACAAGATGTAATTGGTGTCGAACAGATAGTAATATTTCTTACCTGGGAGTATCTGCTTCGGATTCTTATGCAATTGGTAAGAAGCATAAAGAGTACGCAAGAACACATAATGCAGCTGATATATTCTTTACAGGTAGTTTTTTAGTTATTTGATTTGGTTTTTTACTTTTTATTTTTAAAAATGTTTTGGAATGCTTGGAGCAAATTGATTAGCTGTGCACTTTACCGGATATTAATTTATTTTTTACACATTTCATTCCTAGATTTTACTACAGAAATATCTGGCAATAAAGCAGCTTTTGTTAACTTACAAAAACATTTTCCTAATTCAAACAACGTTTTAAATGACTAACTGGCAGAAGTAATATGGACCTTAAATGTTGTAATGTCACATTTTTCATTAAGATCATGCTAAAATTTAAATGAATTATTCAAATCTATGTTCTCTGATAGTACAATAGCATTAAAGTTTGCATTAAGCAAAACAAAATGTGGCTACCTCATAAATTTTGATTAAGCATACTATCGAGATTATTATTTATTTACCATCTTTAAAGAGTAACTTATATCTGAAGTCAGAGTATTTCCCATCTTTGTTTTGTCATATGATGAGAGTATTAATGTAATCTTTAAAAATGAGCAAATGGACTGTGGAGTTAGATACTGGGATTCAAATTCTGGTGTAAAAGCTAGATCTATTGATTCTAAATTCCTCAGATGCCCTTATTCACAGAATTTATTTGACAAACTCATTGAAGCAACAGACATGTTTGATCTTAAAAAACTAATTTAAGTATCAATGGATGGTCCTAATGTTAATTGGGAGGTTCTAAAATTTTAGATGAACATAGACTTGAAAAAAGATATTCTGATATAGTTAATATGGGCAGTTGCAGTTTGCACATTGTTCATGGTGCCCTACAGACAGCAATAAATTCCCTAAAGTGGGAGTTAGAAAAAGCATTTCGTGCAATGTATAATCTTTTTTAAAGAGTCACCAGCTAAAATAGATGAATATATTAGAGTTTCCAAAACTGATCCGCTTGCTTTGCCAAAAGTATGCATATTTAAGCAGAAAAAAATATAATAATAAATTATCTTTTATATTTATATATAAGTTAAGAGCATTTCAGCATTTATATTTTTGGTTTTTATTGTTTCACAGTTTCTGCACAACTCACTGGGTAGAAGATGAAGGTGTGGCTTCTAGAGGCATTATTGTATGGCTAAACATAGTTAAAATTATAAAATATTGGGAATCACTATGCAAAAGCAGATGTTTTTCAAAAAAAAACCTATGAAGTTCTGGTAGATCATCGTCTTCACAATTTTGTATCTTTGTAAATGCAGTTTTTTAAAGATCTTGCTAAAAAATTGAAAGAATTTCTAGTTCTAGTTTAAACAGACAGACCTATGGTTGCATTTTTATCTAACAGTTTAGAAAGCATGTTGCAAAGTTTGATAAAAATGGTTCTCAAACCAAACATTTTAAAAACACTAAATACAGGCCACCCTGTATTTAGCGATTTTAACATTACGCCAAAGATAAAGCAGCTCATCGTTAATGTAACTTTTTTTGCTTAAATTGAGCTGAGCAAGTTTTTAAAAAGTTTGGTGAATACTATTTCATCTTGGTGAATACCGATTTTTTAGCGTTGAACTTACAAAAAAAATTATGTAAGTTTTGTTTAACGCAACTGCGCAAGTTTCTTGAGTACAAATTTCACTGTTTTGAACTTACCCTGAACTTGCCCCCAAAAAAATCTCTCTGATCTTTTTGTTATATTGATGGTGCTAAGTATAGAATCACAAGAGAAATTGCTAAAAATATATTTATATTTAATTTTCTTTTTAACTTTAAAATTTTACTTTTAAAATTATTTTCTAAATTTCTTTGAAATTGTACCATTTTGGAATGCCCCAATGAATGTTATATAAGGTAAACATTTAAAAGTTATAATAAATAATAAATGATGATAACTAATATATTATAATAAATAATATATTATAATAAATTATATGCTAAAGTAACTAATTAAATAAATTTTAAAGTATAAATGTTAAATAATAAGTACAGTGATATCAACTTTAACATTCAAAAAATGTTTGATTGCCCTTAGACCTCTAGACTTGTGACTTTTCTCAGTTAGGGTTTTTTTACTTTTTTTAGTCAGCTGGTGACCTTGAAAACGATGAAGAAACAGCAAATCAGATATTGGATATTATTTATTCTGCATCAAAAGTTTCTTTGTCCAAAAAAGATGATGAATATTTCCAAAGAATCTCATGTATGCTTTTTTATTTTTCATCATCATTTGAAAACTAACATATATATATATATATATATATATATATATATATATATATATATATATATATATATATATATATATATATATATTACATGCACAATTACCACACCCAATTATTGAGTTTTGTCAATTAAGAATTTTTTTAAACTTGATAAGTGTATATATATAGCCCAGCTGCTATTAAAGAAATAAAACTGTTTTTTTGAATATGTTTCACACTGCTTTGATTTAGAGGATTTAAGTTGACCTAAAAGGTACTCAAGATGTTTGAAAAGATAACAATACTTTTGGTGTGCATGAGATGTACTCCATTGAAAACAAAAAAAAATCATTCCTTTTTGTGATTTATATGCTTTTTGAAATAATCACTTTGCAGAAGAAATTTTAACTCAGTTTATCTTTCAAACATAGAGTAAACTCGAAACATTTATGTTTATTATTGTGTCAAAATAAGGAAGTTTTTTTTAAAATATCAGAATAATTGAAGCCTGGGAACAAAAAAGCCCTTAAAATTTTTCCTCCTGCTCTAAAGGTGAGAGCAAAAAGTTCATAATTTTTTTTTTACTCATCTTAGTTAAAATCATATTAATTTAAAAATTTCAAATTTGATGTTAAAAATTTTTAGCTTTCAAGAATTATGACAATATTAAATTTGTAACCCCCTTAAATTGAGGAGAGATATATTTTTAAATGTTCATCGTTTTTGAACGCTAAGAAATCATTGCAAAAAATTTGAAATTTCTTATTGAAAATGAATTTAGCTAAGGATAATTAAAAAAAAAATAACTTGTTGCTCTCATGTTTGGGGCAAAGGGAGAAATTTTAGGTTTTTTTTTTGTTCTCAGACTCCAATCATCCCAATAGTTTGTGAAACATCTTTGACATAAAAATATAAATGTTTGGAATTTACCTTATGTATGGAAGTTTGCGTTCTCAAACACCAAAAAATGCTTAATTCGCCCCTGTCTCAACCATCTAGAATATCTCTTGAAACGATATAGAGACAAATATAAAGTAATAATAATGAAATAAAGTTTTCACATCCTTATATTAGAGTAGGTTACGGCTATTTTACAAAGCTTTTCTCCTTGGTATTTGCTCAGCTCCGAAGTTGGGAATCTTTTCATTTCCTCGTTAATATTTTTGTGAACAGTTTCACAACTTTGCTCAATGAAATTTTCCAAGGGTTTGTTTTTTATTTCTAAGTTTATTATATTTTGTTCCAAGTGGTCTCACTATTTTCCAGAATGTAAAAAAGTATATAAAAAAATATATAAAAAATGTAAAAGTAGTTGCTTAGCTGAGAGATATTAACATATTATTCTGATGGTGACATATCACTTTGATGAATACATAATCTAACCCCCATTTAGCTTCAAATCATAACACAAAATACATTAAGTTAAAAAGTTTGTTGATATAAAACCTCTAAATGTTCTGAATGCAACCAAATTGAAGCATTTTGAAGGTTTAAAAGAAACTTTCATAGGTGAAGTTTAAATTTTATAAAAACAATAAGTATATTTTATTTTCCTGGTACCAATATTTTTTAAATTCATCATAGTAGCCAAATGGTTACTTTAAACAACAAAGAACAAAAAAAATACTCATGAGTTTTTTTTTTTTTTTAATATATTTTTTTGTAAAAGAATACTACATCTGCCTAACAACATCTGTAGAGTAGTCCATGATCTTCTGTACACTTTTGTCCAAGATCATCTGTATTTTTTTTTACTACAACATCTGTCCAATACCATCTGGAAATTCAATGACCCCTAGCAACATCTTTTGGAAGATGTAACTACATCTGGTAATTTTTCTCCAATAACATCTGGAAGAATTTTATCCAGATCTAACTAAATCTAAAAAAACCATATATGAAACTACATCTGGTTAAAATAATGCTTTTATATTAAATATTTTTTTTCCAGATGTAACTACATCTATATATCATCATATAAAACTATATCTGGTTAATATAATGCATTATAATTTAATAATTTCTTATGTTAAAAATAATTAAATCTGTACAAATATGACTACTACTAGACAGAACTATATCTGTAGTAATAATATACTTTTTACACAGATGTTGTTAGACATTAATGAAATTTCAGATGTCATTGGACAGATGTTATTATACCTCAGTGTATTTACAGATGTTTTGGGGTATGTTGAAATATTTTTGTATTTTGTATCACATTTGCATCTCCTAAAAAAATATATATATACCCTCCTCTAGATCCGTCACTGTTTTACAAAGTCTACACTTTTTTCTTTTTCCTCAAAAAACAAATTGTGAAACATAGGCAGTAAAATATTAAGGTTGCTTACTTAGTTATGCTGAGGCATTATAAGAAGTTGAGGCTATCGCTCTCAAAATTTTCAAAATCTTAAATAAAGTTTGCCATATTGGTCTTCTCAATAAGCTCTCATCTTATGATGTATCAGGTAACATCTTTAAAATATTGAATCCTTTCTTACCAATCATGATATAAAAGTTATCCTCGATGGACACCACTCTTCTTCATTTCCTGTAACTTCAGGGATTCCTCAAGGTTCTATCATTTATTCTATACCTTTTTTAATTTACATTAAGGACTTCACAGAAATTCTTGCATTTAAGGTGGCATGGTTTGCTGATGATACTTCCATTTATTCTCGTCTCGATAAGAACCCAGTACTAACCAATTGCTTAGAGGAAGGGATTTGAGGTTGAAAAGGATTTCACTTCTGCTAAAGCATGGGCTAAATTACAATGGCTGGTAAACTTTAACTCAGATAAAATCATTTTTTTTTTGCTAATTATTATCTCAACATTCTAGATCTTCCTATATTTATAAACAGTATTGTACTCGATGAGTCATCTACCCTTTGTCTTCTAGGATTAACTCTCACTTCCTATCTTTCTTGGAAACCAAATATCAAATACATTGCAAAATTAGTATCTACTAAGATTACATCTTACTCCGGATTCTATTCTTTATCTCTATAAATATAAAATCCATCCTTGTATTGAATGCTGTTGTTACATCTGGAGCAGATCTTCAAATGATGCTCTTTCTCTTTTAGAGAAGGTGCAAAAAAGCATTGTAAACATAGTATCACCTGCTATTGCAGCCAACTTTTAACCATTGTTTGTCTGTAGTATAACTTTTTTAATCAATATAAGTATTTTGGCTTCAACAAGATGACATTAATTTAACTTATTATACGTTGAAATCTCAATCAAAGTAGTCTCAATCAAAGTTATGATTAATGTTATGAAAAATCTCATTACACTAAAAATACTTAATCTTGAGTTGTAAAAAATTGTTTCCACTCTTTTGTAATGTTGTATTTAAAAAAGAATCTGGCATCATGGAAACCTGTCCAAATCACACAAGTGTGGACCCATGGGTATTATAAAAAGAATTTCATTCTAATGTTTGTAAGTTTTATAAAATTGATTTTTGAGAGACTTGATTGTCAAAAAGGTTGTAAAAAAGCATAGAATCCTAGGATCCCAACCCCAAAATAGTTTTGTACAAATGGTACAAAATTATTTCTACTAATTATCCAAAATTATTATCATAAAACTTTATTCTAGTAACTTTATTCTATTTACTTGGATAATTTTTTTGTCTAGATTTTATTTAGATATTTATTCATAAATATTACTCAGGTATTTGTGTTGCTCTGAAACAAATTGACATCTGTCAGGTAATATCCTTGCGTCAAATTTCATCTAGATCAAATATGCTATCAATTTCTCAAATTTCTCAACATGCGGTTTGCAAGCCTCAAGTAGTTCTTTTGATATCAAGATGCGGTTCTTTAGCTCTTTGAACATAATATTGAAATAATGATGTTGGTAGCTCTTTAAAAACTAAAACGTTTTGTAAGGTCGGTAGTCTTTTGTCTCAAAAGATTACCGACCTCTGGTTTATACAATTTCTAAAATGCGTTTTTTGTTATACTAGACTCTATCAGAAATAATTGGCTTTTACTTTGAAATTTGAATAGGTCTAAAGTTAAAGTGAGGAGGTTAGACACATTGAAGTATTGTATTAATTTGAAATATGTTCATAATTTAAACATAAAAGGTGTGTACATTTAGCTTTTGTTTAAGATGTATACATTTAGCCTTTGTAGTTATAAACTGGAAATAAGTAGTTATGAACTGGAAAAGTTCATAACTTAAAAGTTTAACAATTGTGTTTTCTATATCTTTTATTTTTATTCACTTTTTATTCAGAACAAGCATTTGTAATTTTAAATGGTTATATTTATTTAAAATATGTTTATAAGTGAAAATTTGAATAAATTTTTTTTTGTCTAAACGTTTTACTTTAAGTCGTTTATTTGTTGTTGTTGTAAACTAGTCTGTTTAAAATATTGTTTTGGGGGTAGGGAGGGCGTAATCGAATGTTAACGTAATTTTTCTGGAAGTTTGACAAGTTGTTAAAAAGGGGGAGGGGAGGTAAAAATCGCCAAAAAATGTTGACGTAACTAATGGACAGCCCCTTAAGGCGTTAGTAATATAGTGATGAAGTGCTTGCTTCAGAAAAAAAAGAGGTGCAAAATTTAAACCTGAGAGTACCAGGGACATGGGAGTACCGAATTTAATCAATACCAACTTTTTGCTTCATTTTAACTTGCTTAAAACTTAGCCAGTTGTAACCAATCGTTTTTTTTCGAAGATCTCAAAATGGCTGCTGTATCATCAAATAAATTAACTGAGTCACAAAATTTTGAAATTTAATTAAATTTTAATGTATTAAATTAATTTGATGTGAATCTATAATTCTCCCCATTTATTGCCATTATTTGTATAAATAATCATTAATTACTTTAAAAAGTTATGATTGTGTAAATATTTGTAAAACTTTTCATATAGCGTTAATCTCCAATATTTTTTTTTTAGTAATTTACAGTGAATTTGTTTTGTTGGTAACCGTGTGCAACTCGCGAATTTTTGTCGTAAAGCGACCGCTGGCAAAAAGTGACAAAAACGAATAGGAGTTTAAATTTTTTTTTTGTAGTTAATAATTTTTTGTGTGCATTTATATGAATTCTTTTTTTCTAAATAGAAATAAAATAAAAAGTTTTAAATTAAAAACATTTGCCACAATTTCGTAGTACTTCATAATAAGGATAGTATTACGGTACGGCACAGGTACAAAAGTATTATGTTTGATACGTCATAAATATTAGTTTGGATAAAAAAGAAAAATACAATAAGAAAAGTAACATTAATATATTAAAGAGAATTTCATTTATAAATTGTTGTGTCTGATTGTGTCAAGTGTAATATAAAATTAAATTTTTGTTTTAATTAGAAAAATTGTTGTATATTTTAAAAAACGTTTCTTAAACGGTATTGTTTTCTTTGTAATTTTTAATGAGAAAAGTTGTATATTTTAAAAAAATATTTCTTAAATTTTTTTTTTTTATGAATTCAGTCAATATTAGTGATTTTGCAATTATTTTTCAATTCATTCTTTAGATCTCTTTAGCTGTATTATTTTTAGAGCTCAGAATAGCCGAAAATAAATTTGTATACTTAATGTGAAATTTGGCTTGTCAAAATGAGTCGGGCTAAAAATAAATTATTTTTTCTTATTTTTAAGATAACAACCTATATCCAACTAGATATAAAGAACAAAATCATATGCAATTAGAGTAAAGTTTAACAAAATATTTTGCTAAATTTTTTGTTAAACTATGTATATCAACTAGATAAGTTAAATTAATATATTAACTTAATATAAAATATATTATAATATATAATATATTAACTTCTATTGTTTAACAAAAAGTAAATATTGTAATATTTGTAATAATATTATAATAATATTATAATAATTATTATAATGTTATAAAACTAAAAGAGAAATAATTATGTCAAGTAAATTTACTTTAGATAACTTTTCTAATCTATTGAAAAAGTTTTTCTTGACATTATCTTATTAAAAGTACGATAAAAATTTACTTCTGTAGACAACTATTACTATTGAAGTAGGAAGTTATTAGAAAACAAATAAACTAGTTAAAGTGCAATAAAATGATTAACAGAAGAATTAAAAAGCTGTAAAGTCATATTTTGGTAGGTGGATCCTGAAATAGCAGTGATTGGTAGTATTTGTAGGAATGAGAAAAGTTTTACAAAAGCAATGGTGCAGTGGTTAGAGTTCTGGAACATGATATAAATATCTTATTTAAGCAGTGATTGTGGTAGTATTTGTAAATATGAGAGATGTTTTTAATTTTTTTAAATTAGTTGAATGACTATAATCAGTTGACTAAAAATAATAGTGACTGTTTTTGTTTGCTATTGTTCACAAATTGAATTATATTATATTTTAGGCTGACCATCAACAAAATTTTCTGCGTAAGAGAACGCATTGCAAACGTGTTTTATATAATTTTTGTTTGATAAAACCCTTTTTATCAAACAAAAATTTAAAATTTTAATTATTTTTGTTTATTCACAACTATTTGTAATACAACATAATAATGGACAAGTACTCATAAAACTTAGTTAAGCTCATTCCATTGATGGCAAACACTCGGTTCTAAAATTTTTGCGCAGCCGTGGTGCAGTGGTTAGAGTTCTGACTCAGCCCAGTCACCTGGCTTTGGTGATCTTTAATATGTCCGTAAGGACTTCTGGGAACACCAAAAGCTCTTTTAAAACAATAGCTCTTTTAAAACAATCCCTCATAAATGTACAAAAAAAAAACATTTTTTGAGCAGCCGTGGCGCAGTGGTTAGAGTTCTAGTTCAGAACCCAGAGGTCCGTGGTTCAACGCTAGCTCTAGCCCAACAAGTGACATTGGTACGGAAGGAGGCGTGAACTTCCCCATAAATGCTCTCCCGCGGTGCTCTATGATAAGACCGTAAGGACTTCTGGGGGCACCTAAATACATACAAAAAAAATAAATAAATAAATAAATTAAGTAACTTAGTGACTCATTAGCTCTATGAAAATATTTTACCAAATACTTTTTTTTTCAAAGAAGTTTGTTGATGAACATAAAAAGGTAAGGTTATCTAATGCTAGACCTGCTAACCTCCACTATTCATTTGCTGGTACCACTTTTATTAAATGCTGTTACGCACATACTTTGATTTCAAATTATTATAATCATACTGCACACAGATTATTTTAATATTTTTTGTTACAAGACAAATAATCTTGAACAAAAAAGGTTTCATTTGGTTGAAACCAAGGAGGTTTAGTAAACCTCTTTTGTTGAAACACCATAAAACCTGGCGGTCTTTTTGGACTACGTGTAAGGCTATAGGCTTTTTAATTGTCAAATTTTGGTATCACAAACATAGACACAACTTTTTAAAATCTTTTTAAATCTTAAAACGTTTTTAAATGACTTTACATAATTTTAAAATAATACCTGTTGAGTCGCTGAGAATATTTTTAAGCTCGAGGAAAAAATCTCATAAAAGTGATTAAAAAACTTTAGTGTATAAGTAAATATAACACGTAAGCTTTAATGCCATCTTTTTTATTTTAAAGAAAGATGAAAATAAAGCAGATTATATGCGTTTCTTAAGTATAAGAATTAAGTATAATTTAAAAACATAACTTGTATTATAAAAAAACATATAAAATTAATAAAAAAAATTGTTACTGATACTAAGCAGTGGTATCATTGATACTACTGATAGTAGTGGCGTGACTACAAATTCTGAGCTTGCCCGCAAGATTTTCATATATGACTTATAAATCTGTATTTACTATCATTTACTGCACAATAAGTAGAAATTTTCCTTTTAAATCTTGCAGCACATAACAAGTCAAAATATTAAAATAAGTCTTTGTTTACCTCTACTAAATTTGCGCATGACGTTTGCAACGCTTTTACTGTAATTAGAGAATATACAATGTCACCCAAAAATGTTCGTCTTAAGGTGAGTTACTCATCCGTTTTTCTACGGGAAAGGGAACGGAAAAATAATCACGTGAGCATGCGTAATAAAAGTTTTTACTTGTCCATAAGGAAACTGCGCATGCTCACGTGATTATTTTTCCCTTTCCCGTAGAAAAACGGATGAGTGGAAAATCACCTTTAAGTATGAGTAACATCGCATTATTACATAAGCAATAGACATCTTTTTAAAATAGTAGCCATGAATATCAAAATTAAAATATTTATTGATAATATACATTCATATCGGTATTGTACATTGATTTTGATAATATACATTGATATTGGTAATACACTTTGATACTTTAATTTTTTATATTTATGGCTATTTTGATAATTTTTTATTAATAAACTAGTTTTTATTAATAATAGCAATTATCTTTATATTTTTTGCATTCAAAAATGTCAAAAAATGCTTGATAACTCGCCCTGGCATAAATAAATATTGCATTATATCCGATAAGTCAAATTCTATTCTTTGAGAGGCATTAGCCAAAACTATACTAGTATCAAATATATGTGAAAAGTATATATAACATTTATGTGGTATCTGGTATGTGGTATTTGGTATCTGATTTCACACAAATATTGCAACCCTAGATGTTGGATATTTCTCAAGCTCTTAATCAAATGGCGTAAAACATACCGTGGAAAAAAGGTTATTAACCTACCAAAATATCTTTTTTCGCAACTTATTAAATCTTTCCATACTTCCATTTAATCCGTAACTATCCAAATTATCCAATTTTACAAATATAGAAATATATACAAATATTCAACTCAATATTAGAGAATTGTTTAAGAAGTATATTGATGGTATTCGTTCATCTGATCTTAGTTAAATCAGATGTACAATATGATATTTGTACGTTAATGTACAATGTGATATTCGCACATTAAATCTAAGAAAAAAAAATAGAAAATAGTGTAAAAAATAGAAAACAGTGTAAAAGAAAAAAATGACAATATTTTCGGAGATCATGATTAAGGTATAAAAAAAACTTATAAACTCAAAATAATTTTGTCTTGTGACATCCGCACAAGTTAAAAAAAAACAATTATAATATTGAAGAAATCTGTCTCAAAACAAAATACTTTTGACCTAAAATGAGGGGAGGGGGGGATTTTACATTGTCATAACTTTTTGAAAAATAAAAGATTTCAAGATAAAATTTATCCTTATTTTATTTAAGGACATAAATAAACAATTTTTACCAATTGGTCCTTAAGAGATACCATTTTGAGATCATCAACAGTAACATCACAAAAGCAAATAACCCTACGACAACCACATCTTTCCCATAGTCACACCTTACTATGAACAAGAAATACGGATCAATAACGTTATTCTACACAACTGGCATCTTATATACAACGACCCAGAATACTCCACACTACCAGTACTACCCTTACCCAAACTAACACATTTCCCCTCAGAGGTCGGCTAATTCTCACTAAATACACTGCCAATCACAATAAGGGATCGTCCATAAAGTACGTACGCTCGGAGGGGAAAAGAAGGTCTGCAAATAGCGTATATGAGATGGGAGGGCATTGTGTCAATTATAAAAAAACTTTTAGGGACGTGGAGGGTACTCAAAAAAGCGTTTTGCAAAATGCGGGGGGACGGGTGTGTGTGTGGTTTCGTACTTTATGGACAACCCTTAACTGAATATCCGCTGTTTCTTCAAAGACATATTCAGCAGGTAAGACATGCCTCTGCCCCCACCCGCGTTTTATGATTTGTATTTTAAAAAATTTTATGCAGGAAATATACATTATATTTTAGGCAGGAAATATATATTATATGATTATTTAGTAAGTACAAGTTGTTATATAAATATTGACTCAAAGCTGAAAAAAATACAAGAATATACAAGAAGGCTTTTACTACTACCCTTATTATGTCTAAGTCTTCTTGTATAATAAATAATACAAGGCTTAGGCATAGCAACATAAAAATAACTCTAATTAACACACTTAACTACTATTTTAGGATAAACATGCTATTGGGATATTCCTTCGCCAAGAAAGACGCAAACACAACATCTAACACAAGCATTAATAGAGAACGGAACAACGTTTATAAATAAATGAATCGGATATATTTCCACCCTATGAACACCTGGTCACTAATCATACAGGTTAACTTATGGAATAAAATGACTATAAACACTGAAACATTTAAATTGACAATTTTTTCATTGGTAACGATGGTTTTCTTTGGTAATATTGGTAACTCTTAATACTTAATATACTTGAATATATAGTTGAATTTAATATTGTTGAAATAGTTGAATTTACTAAATTTATTTTAATTGTTTAGTTATATTATACCCAGTGCTCGAAGTAAGGTAGGATGCCATCGCGTCACCTTTTTATAAAGTATAAACCATCCCGCCACCTTTTTATAAATCTCTATATATAACAATAAGGCGGGATGGTATTTTTAATTTACCGAATACCATCCCGTTACTTTTTTTTTTCTCTACTTTGAGCACTGATTACACCTATATACAATTACCTATATATTTTCTTGTCTTCACTATTTTCTCTTTTAATTATTTTTTAGACACTCTAAAAACTTATATCTTCATTTTCGATTGTATATTTTG